ATATATATATATATATATATATATATATAACTTTGTGTTCTTTGAAATGGCAAACAACTTTTTAAGAAGTAACATTGGTGGGTTTCGTTTAAGGCAACGCAAAAACATCGTGTTTCTCGTTCTTCTAACAAAAATAGCTTACTAATGGCTGCGATCGCTACTCGATCAATTTTGGCTCTGATTCGAAACTGCTCTCCTTTTATCTTTATTTTACAAGAAACGATTAACTTCTTTTTCTTTTTTTTTTTTTTTTCCATTTTCAATATTCGCACGAATATTTGTCATAACTCTTTTAAAAATACCAACAGGGCAACTAAATATTACGGCGTCAAACTACTTGTTGATACGAAAGTAATATAACATCTTCGTCGAGAACGATGTTTTGTGTTGTCGCTTGATTGTTTTACAAAACGCGATACTATCGTTATTCTCACGTAAACATAACCATGGATCAGTTAGTCTTACTCGATAAACCATACGTACGCTTAACAACGAGTTAACGTTTGTAATTCAATCCTTATTATCCGAGTATCGTTCGGCCGATATTTATAGGAAGTAATATTAATAGTAAAAAAAATTACAAAACAATATATTACCGGTCTGTAATCCCAAAAATTGTCTTCCTTGTCCTTTTTTTCGTTTTCATTTTTCTTTCTTCTGGTTTATCAAAATAATTTCTGTAAATGGTAAAATGATGATGCATACGCGAACACGTTTCAATTTGTATCCATCAACACGTTCTCTTGTACGAAACGAAAAATCGCGTAATATAATTTATAAGATAAACTATGAGTTTAAGACACAACCTAACCGTTAGGAAAGATATTGAATGAAAACTGTTACTACTATGATCATAATAGAATCATTGATCTATCGAAATTTGTTCTATGAATGGGTAACTACTATCGATGAGAAAGTTAGAACGTCCATCCACCTGTTTGAAGAGACACCTTGAACTATGCCACCGCCATCTTATATAACGAGGTAGTACACAACCCGATCGAGTTGAGCACGTGTTGAAAACAAGTACGATAAGCGAAATTCTATATGGTAGTAGTGGTGGATCGTCTCCTAAGGCAATTCATTTTTCAAATTACCCGAATTATCTTTCGTTGTCTCTTATATCGCACGCACCAAGTGTATGTATGATGTTGTCTTGTCTTTGACGATAAGAATAAATGATATCTTTGTCTGTCGATCTTGTTTCGCTTGATTGAAATTATACGAAGAAGAAGCTTTAGATATATTTTCAAGAAAATTTCTTCTTGTGATTTTGTTTTTTTTTTTTTTTTATCCTAATCCCAGATAGGGAATAGGAAAAAATGTAAATTGTAAAAAAGGGTCATTTCCCTTGAGAAAATACGTGAACGAAGGACACAATAAATAACGAAAAAGACATCCATCAATCATTTATAATATTCAAACTTGAATGGAATCAAAGATTTATCCGACTACGTGATTTTTTTCTTCGTGCTTGGAATAATATTTTTTTTTTCCTTTTTCCCTAAAAAAACGAAGGTAACCTATCATAGAATAAAATATTATCTCTCTTATTCTTTCCTTCAATAATAATAAGAAAAAAATATATGTAACCTTACGTTAAAGATGTCAGACCAGACAGGTGTATACATTTTTGTATCAGTTTTAATTGTAAAATAGCAAAGTGGACAGTTTTTTTAAAGGCAAGAATAAATAATGAAATATGTTAATAATAATAAAAAAAAAAAGAAAATCTTAGAATAATATGAAAAAAAGGATAAACTAATCTCCTGTTGGTCCCAAGAGGAAAAATCTGTTTAGATTTAGAGACGAAGGTTGGAAAGGTTTAAAAAATTGTGAATAAGGATAAGAGGACTAAAGTTCTAGAAAAGATAGGCGGTGGATTAAAGAGTAGGCTAGTTTTCCATAGATCTCACAGCGAGAAGTCTGTCTCTTGGAAGAAGGTGAAAAGGAGGATAGATAGAATGAGACGGAAAGAGTGGGCCGCGCGTTGCAGGATGCCTCTCTCCGATGTGCTCCGAAAGCTTCGTGCCCGAATCTCTCTCTCTCTCTCTCTCTCTCTTTCTCTTTCTGGGTAGAGAGAACGAGCGCTTGGCCGGGTTCCAAGCGTGCTGAGACGAACGGACCGCGCGTGCAATCTCAGGAGAAGGAAGAAGAGAGGAAGAACGGGAGGGGGAGGGAGGTTCGAGGACGGCGAGAGCAGAAGAAGGAGAAAAGAGATAGAGAGTAAGAGAGAAAGAAAGAAAGAAAGAAAGAAAGAGAGAGAGAGAGAGAAAGAGAGGCTTTAGCCCGAGAACGTCGGAGAGAATCACAGGAGGGTTTCCGTGTGGCGCACGGCATACGGACTACGATGTATTTTTACTCCGGACATCACGGCGCCGGACAACTCGTAAATAGACACTCGCACCGACGCTCTCTTTCTCTCTCTCTTTTTCCTGCCGCCACCGTCGCCACCGCCGTCGATGCTTCCCTACGACTGTACCCTCCATTAAGATGGCGGAGAGTCTCCCCCTTCTCGGTGAAGCCAACCCTGAGTTAATCTACCAAAGTATCGAGTCCCGTTAAACTGTGAGCTTTTGCATCCTTCGCGATATCCCTACTCTCTCTCTCTCTCTCTTTCTCTCTCTCTCTCTCTCTGCTTAGCAAACCGCTTATCTACAAACGTGTATGCGTTAATTAGCCAACAGATATTTCTTCGAAACACTTTACCCAGGGAGGGGGAGAGGGGAAGGGGAGACAGACCTGTGTCGAGAATATTCGTTCAATAGAAAATTTTGCTCGGATGATTTATATTAAACGTATTTTTTTTTCTTTTTTTTTCTGTTTTTTTTCTAACGAAAGAAAGAGAGAAAGATTTAACTCAATAAAAGAGAAACGTATATAAAAGATGAAACATGTTGAGATAAATAGCGATACCTAACGATCAGAGAAGTACGTTGCCTTGAACTTTTGCTTACGGTCACTGTATTCCCGGAGATTCGTCCTCGTATCTGGCATTTGTCGCTAAGACTCGCGTACAGGTGTGTCCGCTCGAGGTCTTTAGCCTCGGAATGGGATAGTGGCGGACAGATCGTGCTCGCGTTCGCCTCTTTGCCAGGAACGTTCGTTCGTTCGTTCGTTTATTCGTTCTACGCAGTACGTTCATTCGTTCGTTCGTTCGTTCAAACGTCCTTCGAATTTGAACGGTTCTAAAAACTTTTCTATCGAGGAAAATGAATTATCAATATAATTGATAATTCATAAGTCTATCTATCATTTGATGAAATCCCATGGAACTTCGAGGACGTTTAACGACGACGACGACGACGACGACGACGAAATGGTAACGTTCAAGAACGATAATTCGTATGGATTAAATAGGGACACCTTTATTCGCATACTTCTTCTTATTTTTTTTTTTTTTGTTGTTCTTTCTTTCTTACTCCTCTCGTATATTACGCGTTAAGCTCTTTCTCTATCTCTTTCTTTTTTCTATGCCACCTTACGAAAATTTATCGCTTTTATTTTCTACAACGATCGAAATCAACTAAACGCACGCGAACATCCATCTTCCGTGTCACTGAGAGATAAGTAGAGATAAGCCTTCGAGGCGTTCCACTTTTTCGCGCCATTTGTCTCTCACCTTCTTATAATACCATTTTTATTGGCAATAAAATAACAGAGAGAGAGAGAAAGAGACAAACAGAAAGAAAGAAAGAAAGAAAGAATAAGAAAAATAAGAAATTATAAACAAAAAAATAACATTCGGAAATAAACTAATACATATTTTTCTTTATCCTCCACAAACATCACTCTCTCTCTCTCTCTCTCTCTCTCTCTTTCTCTCTCTCTCTGATGTATCTAAATACGAATAAAAAAAAAAAAGAAAAAAAAACCATTCGACCTTCGGTTTTTTAATCGCGTCCTTGCAATAGGTTCGAACGACGTCGTTTGTTCCTCTCTCTTCATCCCAACGATTCCATCATCATCATCATCATTATCATCGTTGGTCGTTGTCGTTGTCGCTCAAGATAAAAGATGTGTATGCTCATAGAAAGGATGAATAAAAAAGAATGACTTGGAACGAATCGTCCTCGCATCGACCGTTATCCGAGAACCGACGATCGAGTAGTCGGCAAGCCAACCTGGAAGAACGACATTCGCGACAAGTCGAGAACCGTTTAGTCGGCTATTGGTATTTTCGATCCCAGTGAAAGTTGCGCGCGACGTTCGTTCCATTCAGGGTCGACTCGCGACGACTCGCGAACATACGTCTTTTTCTTATCATTTATACATATATATATATATATATATACATATACACCGATATAAAAATAAATAACAATATAAATTCGAAATTACATTATTAACACGGTAAAATCAAGAGACTAATTGATTATTTCCAAAAAAAAAAAAAAAAGGA